TTATTATTATTATTATTAATTCTAACATAAAACTGAGGAACATTATCCCCGGCTAAAGGAATGGCATTATTCTAAACTAGAAGACAGCGGCCACCTTACCCTCCTAGGGACTTTCTGATCCAAAAATATCCCTCGTGTAATTTCTTTTTTCAACAGGCTTCGCATTTTCAAGGCAAGCAACATAAAATGCGTGTAGTAGAAAATATTACGTCACTTTCTTCTCCAGTAGCCGTTACGGTATTATCAAGCGCATTGCTACGTTACAACACCTGCAGTCTCAATTTCAAAACCCAGTTTATCACGAAAACTGTATTTCCTTTACACCAAGATCTTTATTCATAATTGACCTTGCATTTCTACACCGCATGTTCATTTTTCCCATTTCTATTAAATACATAAAAAGCTTTATTTTACTGTAAGTTATATGTATCACTACTCTGTAATTTATTTTAGTTTATGGATGTCCATATGCATATTAAATAATATGCACTACTGTATATGTACTTTTAATATTTGTATTTTTTAGCACGTACATCACGTTTCAAGATACATTGTGTAACAGGATGGAAAAAAAATCTCATCCGCCTGAAAATACATAAAGTTTGACTAGCCTCACAAATCGTAAACTAATTGTTTTAAAAATGTTTTAAAAGCCGGCAGAGCTTTAAGAAACGATGATTATATGAAACACAACAAACGTCTCTCTCAACACAAACACAAACTCACTCACACTCACCTTCTCCGCTCTCCAGTCCTGACACTTTATTATTAAGCAGTTCCTGTTTTGCCTGTTTAATTTGAACTTTTTTATCAAACTAAAACAATGGAATTAAACATTAGATTAATATTCTAACATACATATTACACTAATTAAATATGTATTATTACATAAAGCAATTTGTGGGAAATCAGTCCACAATTATTAAGATTTCTATCGAGGCTCCTCGATAGTAAACTATCCTACGGGCCTTGCAGGAGTAGGTCGCAGTTTTTTTTCCCAAGATGGCAGCCTCCAGCAGAAGTCAGGTGCTTTCTCTGTACAAGCTGTTGATGAAGGAGAGCAGTAAATTTCCTTCATACAACTACAGGTATTTGATCACTGCTTATTGCTAATTACTCGTGATCGCATGAATCACATAGCGGGCACTTCAGTTAACGCTGTGCCATGTTATACAAGTGTTGTCATTGCAGTGTAACAGAGCTTTCAGGTTATAGATAGGATCTGAAAGTACGGTTGCATTTTTATAGCACATAGAAGTAATGATATTATTTAGCAGCAACATCTGTGTCCTCTTCTGGTCCCAGCGGAGAATAACCCGCACTTGTACCTTACTTGCGATGTTGATATGAAAACCTGCTTTATTAACTATGACCTTTTGGTTATGTGTTTTAGTTTTCGAAAACAATAACCCGATCCACAATTAGAGGGATAAATGTATCTTTTCTTTCCTGCAGTGATCTGATTTATAAAGTATTTATTCCTATAGAATTACGGAGCACAATGTGATCATTTGTATTTTCTTAATTACAATATTATCCCGAAATACTTGAATCGAAAAAAGTTAATTCCTTGTCCATTGTTGTGCACCTGTGATAGCATAAAGTAAAACCTATTACACTATTATAATTACAAAACCTATTTTAATTAATTGCAGTCTGTTGTCGCATTAAATGTTATCCAAAACTACACACAAAATAATCTGTTTTCAGCATTTGATAGTTTTTGGCTTAAGCCAAAGCCCTCTCTTCTCTGAGTTGTTACACAAGCTGTGAGATAAAGGTAAAAGGTTTTGATACATTGGCATAACAGTTTATATTAATAACACATAATTCGACACCTTTAATTATCTATGTAACGATTTTTTACTATGACAGCCCTTGGAGAGCGCAGGTATACAGTATAAAGTATAAAGGATTTTAAAGTACATGAAGAGTAAAAAAGTTTTTCTCCAGCTTCTCCAACCGCTAGATAGAAACCCTGTGACACGAACAGCACAGCGCAGTATATCGCGTCAGTACACACAATACAATGCGAAGACAAATTTCACTTGGCTCTACAGAAACTGCTATTACTAGTACTAAATTTCAGTAGTATATCTTACAGCACCGAACACTTAATTTATAACAAGTCTTACACAAACCCTGAACGTGATGTACAATCATGTTTTGCACAACCATAAATTATGTAGCAGAAATCATACGCTTTAAAGATCCTGCTGTTAAAAAGCCTTTGAAACACAATAATGGTGGTTCTTGGCTTAGACAGTAATTTTGTCTAAATTGCAAACATGTAGATTTTCCCTGTTCGTTTTCTTACTTGAATTCCATGGGCAATTGATCATTTACAGACTGTTGAAACTATAGTAATGAAATTAAACTTGCAGCCTATTTTTGTGTAAAAATGTTACTGGATTGAATGGACTAAAAAACAAAGATTAATAACAGCTAGCTCCCCATCCATGGTGTTGAGGTTAACAAGAAAGGGCTGGATGAGATACTTGGATCAATTAACTAACAGTTAACTTCCACAAAATGGCTGGGTACCTTGTTGCATAGTCCCACATCCCCACGTGTCTCATGCTCACAATTTTAAATGGGCTTCTACATAATTTCCACTTGTATCCTCTGGTTTTTATCTTGCTTTTCATTCTGAAGCAATCCGCTGGATTGATGCTGTGTCACTGCGTTTTAGGACTGTGAATACTGTATATCAGATCTCCTTGTAGGATTCTCTGTTCAAGACTAAAGGGCTTGAGTTCCTTCAGCCTGTCAGTATAGGACATGTACCCAATTTACTCATTGTGCTTTCCAGATTGAATTTTGGTAGTTTAATGTTATTGAAACAAAAGTAAAAGTACTGGAGATAGATGTAGTCAGCTACACAATTTATAATTTACAGTATCTTGTTTTGAAAAACACCATAATAATCCCAACATTAATAATGTATTTTGCGGACTGGACGGACATGGACCTATTAAGAAAAATTGAAAACCTCCCCGACTCTCTTTCTACTTGTTTTTATCCGAAAAATTTTAACTCCCTTCTCACTTTTTATAACTCATAACTTAATCACATCAATTTATCACTTTTTGCTTCCATTTATATATATATTTTTAGAAAGACTAGGAAATATTGTTTCACAATTATCACATAAGTTAATTTTTAATATCCTATTTGCGTTAGTTTTGTACAGCATTATTAATATACAGTAGGAATGCATATAATGCTTAATATGCAGTATATATAACATTCTGACATTTCTGTTAACTTTCAAAACGTATTCTTTATGCGATTGTTGTTGTCATTTGTAAAGTAGTTCATGTTCCTGTGGCTAAAGAAATAGATTTTTTTGTATCTGGGGTTTACCAGTTCAGGTCCTGACTGCCCTTTTAGTAAAATCAGGTCCTGATTTTTTTAGGCCCTCTAAGTTTTGTTTATATTCAATGCATCTGCTGAATGTTGTTATTATAATGTAAAAACAAAGTTTTGTAAAGTATGTGTGGTAAAAACACAATCCTTTACTGGGAACACTAGGCTCACAGTCTAGTTCCTCTGCTTGGCATTTCCTGATAGTTAAGATATTGAATGTGCAGTAAGGCATCCTTGGGCTGTATCCCAGGGGTAGGAATTGTCCTGAGGTGGAAGCTCGGAGCCTGATGTATGGCACAACTGTGAAAAGCAGCATGGCTCCATTTTTGCCCGATCCTATTAGCACAGTTTTGCAAGTGAACAGATCCTAATTAAAAGTGCTCACCATCTGCCGGAGCCCAGCACCGAGGTGGCCCACAGCATTTACCTTCCCTCATTGATTACAATGTATTATTTATCACGTTTTTTGCTGTTTCATAAGATGCAGGATAGCAAATGCCACTAGCAAAACAGGAGGTCTTTACTCCTCACCACCTACAGCTAGTGTGATGTGCCCCCTTCCCACGAGATGTGTGTGCATTAGGAACTCTCTGCTCCACAGTTGTATAATCAGTATTATACCTTCTGCTTAAAATAGAAGCTGTAGTTCTGCTCTCATTTGTACCTTACTCACATTGAAGAACACTTTGCTTTTGACAGCCAGTGCTATATATATCTATCCTTTTGTTTGAAAAATTTTGAGAATTATTTCTTATGTGAATGAATTCTAATTGAATTGCCTTATTTTGATGATTATGGACCTTTTAGTTGGAAGTTCTGCGCCAAGGTACATTGGGTGGCTATTGCATTGAAACACTGTGAATTGGAGGGCTGCAATATCTGGTGTGGTCAGTACCTGGATGGGAGACCTCCTGGGAAAAACTAAGGTTGCTGCTGGAAGAGGTGTTAGTGGTGCCGGCAGGGGGCGCTCAATCTGCGGTCTGTCTGGGTCCTAATGCCCCAGTATAGTGACAGGGACACTATACTGTAAGAAGGTGCCGTCCTTCGGGTGAGATGTAAAACTGAGGTTCTGCAGTCAGCTTCTAATACTTCATACTGTTAATAATCCCCATCTATGAACTGGCTTCCTCACTCTGTTCACTCTGTTCTCCTCCCCACTGATAGCTAACGTTTAGTGAGCGTACTGTGCACACTATGGCTGCCGTCGCATCATCCAGGTTGGGGGTAGTTCTATAAAACAGCTTACATAGCCTTCATATGTAGTATTTGTATGTTGTATTCTGTAGCCCATACAACTATTATTATTTCATTATTATTACATTATACTGTAAATATGATCAATTCCAGGTCTAACATTGTTGGATCTTGGTGGACAATGTGTTTACAATAGTTCAGTAGTCATATGAAGTAATCAGTGATTCATCACGATCATAGTAAAATAACTATTGTTGTTGTTCTTTTGCACAATGACTGTCTTAATCAGGGAAACAAAATGCAGTAGAGCGCATTGCACTAAATGAAATAAAACTGAAATAAGCGAAAACAGTTGAAAAATGGTTTTTCACATGCAAAATCCTATAACTGAAGTAATTTTCATTTTTCACCATTTAATGTCAAAATATTTGTCACCTGTCACAACTGAGAACCCCTTTAGTGTTTCATAAAATTAAATAAAATCCTTTGATCTACACAGAAATAAATATAAAACAGTCCAGCTGCATGAGCAGCATGTTCATTCTAGAAAATGAAGCAGCTCTAGTAAGCCAGCATAATAACATGTAATGAGAGAACTTCATGTTTTTTTTAACATTAATCCTGACTAATAATATTTGGTGCAAATATGTGTGCATTCCCCAGTTCCAGATGCATATTTTCCCTAAATGCAAACCCTAAAAGTTAGTATTTTTCTCATTTGGCTTGGTCTGTCTTGTTTTACCCCAATGAAAGAGAAAGAGATCATTCGGCCAGGTTTGCTTGTGTGATTGCCGCAAGCTGACTTAAATACCTTAAATACCCCAGGATACCTTGTTTTCGGAGAGCCACACTCACTAGTTTGCTGGGTGCTTCATCCTAGACATCCTAGACAATTCTTTATGAAACAAGGGGAGGCTTTTCAGTTCATCTTGTTTGTAAAGGCGTACTACTTGTTTTCAGTACTAAAAGCACCTGTAATCAATATGCACATGCATCTTCATTCAAATATTCATTCAACGTCTCTGTGTTAGATATTCATTGAATTATTTTGCTTCTCAGCAGTGGAGTAATGGTTAAGGTTCTGGATTTGTAAATGGAACGTTGTTACTTCAAATACCAGCTAGACCAGCTAGCACGATACCTCATTCAGATCTCTTCAATGATATGCCCTTCAGTATCAAAGACTACCAATGTACCACTTTAAATACAAATGAGAGACAAATGCATTCATAAGAGTCTGCAGTACTCTTCATAGACAATAGTGTCATCCTGAGTACAACTATAGTATGGAACTCTTGAAGGTCTTGTGTCTGAAGTAGAGCATGATTCCTTGTGACTTGTCTTCTTGTGAGAAAAAAATCTCAGCTTTTATGGTGCTGCATCTTTATCTTTTAATAACTATTTATATGGTGCAAAGTAGTACTGTAGCTCCAGATGGAAGAAGAAGATGTCAGTTCTATAGTACTGGTTAGTGGCTTTGAACCGATGTGATTAAGTGTTTGTGATGTGATGCACTACGCTACAG